TGTTTGTATTGAGGTTGCAATATTTAAATTAATTAGGGGAAACTAAATCTATGCTAGATAAATTTGGTATGATTTAGCTGTGGACCAAAATATTCTTTTGGGGTTAATTTGAAGAGTTTTGCACTATTTTGATTTGCTGAAACTTTGATTAATATAAACCAAACTAAAGATTATATTAAACTGAGTCACACTTTTGGGCACTTATTTTAAAATAAATCTATCAACAAAAAATATATGTTAAGAAAATCATAGAGAATCTAGATACTAAAATCATTTTAACATTATTTTTTCCTCTAGAATAGAGTAACTCTATTATAGAAATTGATTTATTTCAATATATATCTTTATAATATAGTTCTTTAATGATAGAAAAAATATAGATGAATACTATTTTGCCTCTATATTTAGATTATTAAATATCATTTTTATGAAAGGTCCGCAAAAAATTAATGTTATTTAACAAGATAAGCATGAACAAAGTAAAACGTTGATAATTTTATTTTATTAATATAATATAATTTGTTTTTTTTTTTAAAAAAACTGATTTTATATGTCCCACAACATAAGTCTAAAGGCATGGGTTGCATTTTATATTTGATACAGTTTTTGGTTTAGGAATATGGATCACCACAATTGTTTTCTCTGTCTCTAATGTTTTGAGATATTTTGTGTTCTCCGAAGTTATTTTTTTTTTGTTCACCAAACTCTTAAAGTACTACAACAAGAGATAAAAGTGTTAAAAGGGTGAAGATATCCGCATACATACTTCACTTAAGACCCTAATACTGATGTTTCTAAAAAAAATACTAAAGTCAGTATAATAACTGATGAAAAGGGACCCTAAATAGTGGATTTGGAGATAGTTGGTGAACACTAACACTGATGATAAGCCCATTAAAAAGATAGATTTGGTTATAAAACTCATTGAACAATCAAGACCAGTTCTAATACCAATGATGATAATCTGGGAGACCAGGTGAATCTCACTCGTTGGAATGAACAAGAAATGTTATTTCCATATTAACGAAACTCATCATGACAGTTCTTGGCTTTGTTGATGGGCATAATTCAGTTGAAACCGGTCCAAAAGAATGGTTGACCTTAATTTCTATGACTTATGCTATACGCTTGCTGGTAGTTAATGGGTAGGCGGTGGTTAAATTCAAGCAGGGACTATATCCTCCAAGATTACCGTGTCGAGGCGAAAGAACCATGAAACTCAAACTTAGACGCTTTTCATCAAACTTTACAAGTTGAGCATGAAAGAAGAAATACCATGAAGTACATAGGTTGTGGAGCTGAGTTCGATGAATTTGATGCGCTTCAGAGGAGACAAGATGTCAGGTGAACTTGACCAAAGGGTTAGTGTATAAGACAGAGAGGCTGCAGGGCACGAAGATGTAGACGGAGACGTAGAGGAGATTTAGAAAACCCAAGCCAAAGGTAAGACATGTTGGAGATGAGAAGACAAAAACTTAAAACTGAGACGTGACAGAGGAGGCGACGATGGGATTGTCAGAGGAGGAGTTAAGGAAATGTAGGGGAACAAGGAGGAGAGGACCATCTGAGGGATCTGATAATTCCGGGGGGATGATGAGACAGAGAGCTTCAAGCTGACCCTACATACAAGGCGACGACAGCAGATCTGGAAAGGGCTGGAGACAAGACGGAGGAGTAGATGCTATCATGGCCATGAAGAGTAGCAGAGTTGCTTCAGAGGGAGGTGTGACTGGAGTAGGGGATACCTATCTAAAGGGTGCCTTGGGCAGCGGGCTTGAAAGAGTTTCTCTCTAGGGCAAACTTTTCTCCGAAGTTATCATAAAACACAACCTCAACCTTGTAAGAATATTTATCTATCACTTTTGTCATTATCTATTTTTTTGTTGAACCTTATCATAATCTATGTGTTTATCAAATGTTATTATGTTAATCAAACATCTGAGTTTTAGAAGTTGTTAGATATAACAATCAAACATCCGGACCAAGGACATATCTAAAAAAATCATTTAATATGGGGTATACACTGTAACAAATATTTAGACTATGGACATTTTAATAAATTGTATACTGATTACTCAACTGAAGATAAGAAATGATTCTTGAAGAATTACTTCAATGAGATTGCGTATAATATAAAAATTTCCAAAGTGAAAAACACTCGACAACCGAAGAGAAACCAGTTAGAGGTCAAATACTAAACGTTTTAGAAACAAAGACAACTTTACTGAATATTTTTTTATAAAAACGTGATGCTTTACAACGATGACATACAATGGGTTATATACAAAAGCTTTAGATCTCTCTAGATCCCATCCAGCTCACACAGCCTGTCTATGACTCATCATTGACCAGTCTGGATAAGGCATCAAAGTTATTCTTTACAGCTACCTTCTCCGTAACAAACACAGAACCGTTGCTCTGTTTTGTCATCACTTCCTTTTGTCCATACTAAGATGAGACTCTCTTATCTGAATCGTGATGGGCCAGTGTGATAGACAGGTCCAGTATCTTATTACCCATATCTCCCCCCCCCCCCCTCAAACTTGGTGTGGGTAGCAAAGTGACGTCAAGTTTGGTTCTCAAATCTTCAAACGATCTTCTTGGGAGAGGCTTAGTAAATATGTCTGCCAGCTGATCTTTAGCTGAAATGTGTCTGAGAGCCACATGTTCTCTTATGTAGTGCTAGTCATTTTCAAAGTGTTTCAATCGCTTGTGAAGAGCTGGATTAGTACTCAAGTACACAGTGGAAAAAATGTCACACTGAAGCAGTGTTGGATTACTTTGATAAACTCCCAAGTCACGAAAACAAAGTTATTTCTTGAGATGTAGCGGTGAGTGCTCTGTACTCCGCCTCAGTAAAAGAACCAAAGATAATATCTTGTCGTTTGGCTGACCAAGAGATAAGGTTTGTTCCCAAGAAAGTGTAGAGACCAGTCGTAGATCTTATAGTTTCCCTGCATCCCGACCAAGCACTGTCATAGTAAGCTGTTAGAATCAAGTTGGAGTGCTTCTTGATAAGCATCCCCATCTTGGTGGTACCTTTGACATAATGTATGCTCTAGAGAGTATAAGGTACTGAAGCTTGCCTGCAATATTTATGAAATACGTTGATTGTGGAAACCTCTCATCATCAAGTGTGTCTGGACTTGTTGGTAATGGGATAGGAATAGGATTGCAGGTTGACATGCCTGCTTGATGTAGAACATCCTCAACATATGCCGACTGATAAAGAAACATGCCATCAGAAATCTCTTCAATCTCAATGTCGAGAAAGTACTCGGGAAATCCAAGATCTTTCATCAAGAATCGTGTATTGAGAGTCTGAATGAGAGTGTCCATCAGTTTTGGATCATATGCTGTAAGTAGTATATCATCAACATAGAGAAGCAGCACCATGTTTTTGTCATGTTGATGGTAAATGAAGAGTGATGGGTCAGATTTGTTGCAGACAAAACCAAATTGCAATAGAGAGTTATTAAATGTGTGAAAATCAACCTAGCTCCGATACCATAAATGTTTTAGAAATAAAGATAATTTTACTGAATATTTTCTTATAAAAATGTGATGCTTTACAACGATAATATACATATATACAAAAGCTTTAGATTTCTCTAGATCATATCCAGTTCACACAACCTGTCTATGGCTAATCATTGACCAGTCTCGATAAGATATCAAAGTTATTCTTTACAGCTATCTTCTCTGTAATAAACACAGAGCCGTTGCTATGTTTTATCCTCACTTCCTTTTGTTTATATTGAAAAAGTTTTCTTATCTGAATTGTGATGGGCCAGTGTGATAGACAGACCCAATACCTTATTACCCATAAATACTACAAAAAAAAAGTTATCATTTACCTCTAAAAGTTTTTGGATTTGTTAAGAGAGAAACGATGAAGAGAGATCTCTCTTTAACATGAGAATAAGATGTTGTACACTGTGACAAGATACATAAATCTACTGGTATGCAGGATAAATATTAGAATAACAACATAATCAAACTATAGAAATACTAGCACAAAAATAGAAACACTATCTTAAAAGAATTTCTGCAGAACGATCATAAACCCACAAAAATTGGTTTTTTGGTTTACTGGATAATTGACTTTTTTTTTCTAACAATAATCATAAACCTCTAGTTAATTATATATGTTAAAATTTATTATAATAAGCTAGTTGATCTATACGCAAGTGTTGGTGTTGTTGCGTCATGGCTAAAGGTTGTGTGGTGTCTTATCAAAATAAAGTTAATTATTTAACTAAAATCTTTGTACTAATAATCACGAGGAAAAATACTAATAAATCTGTTATATTTGCTAAATTTATTATACGTCTATACAATAATTATGATAGTCTTGGTATTTAGATAAGTTTGATCCGGTTTCAATTGAGACACTTCTATGAAATAACAAGATAATATATTTTTCGCCGGTGGATGAGTAAAGAGAAACAAGTAAAGACGTTGGGTGTTTTTAATACCTGAGAAAGACGTTGTTTCAATAGGTAACATGTCGTAATAAATTGTCTCCACCAGCAATTTTTATATGAACCAAATTGAAATTTTCGATACGATATGGTTGCTCGACGAACAACTCGAGAGCGACATCGTATCTTAATAATTTCTCTTTCTTTTCTCAGTTTATACAAACCTCGACTGTTTCGTGCCTGCTTAACAATCAAACTACCAGTAATAGTTTTTTTTTCTTTAACAAGGGTGTGCCAAATTATTTGTTACAGTTGATCTCTTTTTGTCTGTAACAGGAGAAAAATACTATCAGCGTTAAATTGAAAAGATAACACGTTTTTCTGTGTCAATGTTTCTAATGTATACGCCAAATGTTTCATTAAGTTGATAAAATTTATATTTTCTTTGTTAAATTATGTGAGTTTTAACTCGAATGAACACATAAATATGCTACATGTATAACGGTTGGATTTTTTTTTTTTTTTGAACAACTACGGTTGGATAATATGTTGTATATTTCAAAATATTACAAATGAGTACGTGTTATAATTTACCAAAGATAGGACGTTATAATATGGATTTGATAAACCCACTAATATAGTATTTTTTTCACTATGATAAGAAAATATTTACATAGTCATGTTTACATCTTCTACCGAAGAGATAAACATAAGTCAAATTCAAGTATACAACAACACTCGAAGGGAATATATCTGAAAAGAAAACTTGAAAATCACCGCACGTTCCACCCAATATTTCCCATATTATTTCATATATGTCTCAAGCAACCGCGTTGGTCTCTAAACGCACGTATCACCTAACCCATCCGTCGTGGAATGGCGACTCTAACGCGTTCCCCATCTTCTTTTGCAACTTAAGATTCTTATAAAACTTTTTTATAAACTCTTCCGCCGCTTTATCCACCACGTGATCATGGTCTCCACCGTCCTCTAACGGAAACGGCGAATCCGTCACTCTAAGCTGCCTCACCGCCGGAAACGCCACTTTTGGCGACTCTCCAGCCGCGGCCGCACTTGTATCATTTTCTCCCAACAACTCAAAAACCTTCTTAACCGCTTCCGTCACAGCGTCTTCATTGTCACAACCGCCGTGGACGCGGCGTTTGCGTTTGCACATATACGCAAAAGGGTCATTCGCTGGGGTGTTGCTGCAGCTGAACTCGTAGTCACGGACGCGTGCGGAGGAGGTAACGTCAGCACCGCCGGTGAAGCTAGAACGACGGCGGCGGAGGTTAGTGATGGCTTTGTTGCCTCTCTTGAGCATTAGGTTTAAGTCAAGCATGAGCTTGCTTTTGACCGTACCGGTTTTCAAAACGCAGAACACGATCCTCACGACTTTCCAAAGCCTCTTGGCTGCGACTTGAGCGTTTTGTTCCATTTCTGTGTATAAGTCTCTCTTTGGGATAGAAGCTTCCATTTTTGATATTTATTTTCTAGAGGAAATGATATTTTTGTTCTTCTTCTTTTGCTTGTCTTACACTTGTAAGATTGGTTTGTAATGGAGGAAAGAAGTTGAGGGTATTTAAAGGATGAGGAGATAATACAAAATAATATATTATGAGAAAGGATATTGTATATTAAATAAATGTAAAGAAAGAGGAATAACCTAAAACCACAACTTTAGCCAAAAGATTTTCTTTCTCATTAAGAGGTTGGAGTAGTAGCCAACAAAGAAGTCTTCTTTGTATGGTTTATTTGCTTTATTTCCTATATATATTTCATTTTATTAGAGCTTGGTTATCCACATATCACAACACATGCATATCTAACCGTTAATGATGGAAGTTGAGGGTAAAATGAGCTTTAACTCTAGAGTAAGCAACCGAAGTGTAGCTATATTTCTCTAAAGTGGAGGATAATATAAAATAATGATATGATATTAATCAGAGTGTGAATTAAGTAAACTGTAAACCAGATATCATTCATGAGTTTTTCATGAGTATAGCCGTTTTCTGGCAGGCTGATCGAGCCACTTAGAGAGTTTTGCTTATACCAAAATAATACACTATAAAACTTTAAAATTTTCTACACAGAATTAAAGAACTATTGCTTTCTTAAGACTTTACAGTTAAGTTTTAGATTACATCCACAATAGTCAACAAATAATATTTTATAATCCTTAAGTTCTTAGAAATTATACAGATGTATATAGGTTAAGAACTATAAATATTACGCGTGCATGAGTTATGTTTCTAATCGCAATTCTAGACAAGTCGATCTGTGTCAGCAAGAGAGACTGGCCTATGTTGGCACCACTTAACAAATAATCACTGAATCCTTTGTAAAATATAAAATGGGCAAAACCTTCAACATGTATATATTTTATAGTATATAGTTAATTATTTGATAACCATCTCTGTATTTGTACCTTTTCTTTTATTGTATTTGCATTTGATTATAAGATAGTGATAGTATTAAAAAGAAAAAAAAATCATGTATGGAACTTTGGTCAAAATAATAGTTTCTTGTATGTATTGTTTTGTAGAAAAGGAGTGTATATACACATGTTATCCGTATTAAAATTTCACATGATTACATATATTAAAGCGAAAAAGGTCTGGAGTTGATATTTTTCTTTGTATTACCATTATTTAAAACCAACTTAATATATCTTTCAATACAATATCACACAATTTCAATGATATTGCGTTTGAAACATCATGCCAAATATCCAATCAGATGCAACATTAACTATGATTAGATTGTCCCTAAGTATACATGTCCTCCAAAACTTTTTATAAATTTAATATGATATATTAGTTGAGTCATGTCTTTAAAGTTGATAGCAAATTTAGACCGTTGCCGTAGCCACTAAGGCGATCCAACAAATTAAAGGAAAAGACCTCTTCGTACGTGTTACTTGTCGTTAGAAACTTCTTATACGTGTTACTCCACAAATAGATCACAAAGCTCTTACTAAAAGTTTTTAGTCCAAAGTATGGTCACAGTGCCGGTCGGTGAATCTAACGGCCAGAAGCAAAAAAAATAATGAGATTATGGGCCTGTAGTAAACGTGTTAGCAAAACTTTTAAAGATTTGTGGATGCCTAATTTTGTGGATGCCTAATTTCTAAGTCAAAACTTTTACAGTTCTTTGATAAGGATCAATTTTCTGGCAGGTACGTTATTATGCGCATGCTCTATCTTTATTTGGGAACCTGCGATTGGTTCTTTTTTTTTTCTTTTTAAAAAAGCTAAAAAAAGGAATAAAATAAAATAAAATCACCTTGGTTATCGAGCAAGGGGAGTACCAGCATTGTTGAAGATCTTACCTCTGTTTTCCCTTTCCAACACAAATACTACTATGCTATCTATGAAAACTGTTAAATTGAGGACGGATAAAATACATAAAATATTTGAGGCCGGAAGCTCAAGCTTCCAATGTTTGATGTCTGAGCTGGTACTGATGGTCATTTACTAACGTTTGCTGAACGAACATATAAAATATTTTGGAGTTCTTTTTGTCTTGGTAAAATGGATTTTGGAGTTTGTAATTCAAACCTTTTGTAAAACTATGTACCGGTGGTAAAATTTTGGAAGGTATAAACAATTTAGTAAACAATTCTAGAAAAAAAAAATTTCTTACAAATTTGAAAGTTTATATATATGTAAAGTTTTCTTACAATTTCGGAAGTTAGAGATAGGTTTCACTAGCATATGCTTAAAACCGGTCTGATGATAGTGTTAACTGAATCAGTGACCTTCTTGAATCAAGAAATGACTACCTAGCATTCCTTGTAAATCTGAAAGAATATATAGCATAAGAAACGTACACATAATAGATTTTTTTTAGTGGATAAATTTTATATCTCATTAATTAAAAGCAACATACAATTTGGTGGTGAAAGTCGAACATATTTTACGAATCAAAAGCAAACTGTGTAAGTTTCTTTTACTTCCATCAAAGATAATGAGTTCAGTTTTGTTTTGATAATAAGTAAGAGTGGAAGCATATCGTTCAGGAGGAGTAAAGTAGTATATATATTTTCTAAAAAGAGTCCTATGAGTCTTCTTGGATACCACTACGATTGTTGTAGCCGGTAACCACACAACTGACTCGAAAACGACAGCGCCTGTACGTCGTGAAGAAGGAATAATACATGGAAACGACACGAGGTTTCAACTCGAAACTAATAATTGGCGAAAACGACACACGACAAAGCCATTCCAGTAATATTAGTATAAGCCTTGTTTCGAAAACTAGTGCTTTGTTTTTCTCTATCTCATTTTTTTTTTAATTATATGTCTTAAAACAAAATTATGTTGTTGTTATAATTATTTTAAGTAATTTTTCATTTTCGAGGTTTCTTAAAGCAGCTTTCGGAATGGGCCATGAACCTTAGAGCTTAGACATGAAGGCATCTAAGCTAATCATAGCCACCTATCTCCACTTACAGAGATAATAGCATGGGAATTAAGTTATATATATAGTATATAAGTATATGATACTGTGTATTGCCGAAAACATTGATAATGTTTCGCGACATATTGTGGTATTAAACGCTGAGTTTTAGTGGTAACTATATGGTTTAGATGCTCACGTATTTGAAACTTTATATATATATATATATATATATATATATAGAATTATTTTTTGAGAATTAAGTTTGTATATTAGAGTTGGTGTCTGATACTTGATTATATAAATTTTTCTAAATTAATGGGTGTAAACTTTATAACTAAAATCTTGTAGATAAAGTCATCGTTGTGGTTTGGATTATTATAAAAGGCTGTTCATTATAAAATTGGTACATATAAACTATATATAATACATATTGTTTAAATTGGATTCTATAATTATTACTTGCAGAACCCTTCATCATATAATGTATAGTAATTTTTTTTTTTAGTTTCAAAAAATAATATATATTAAAATATTTAAATTTAACTAATTATAATTACTTGTAAAAAAATGTTCGTCATACATAATGTTTTTGATAATCTGATGATAGGAAGAGAAAAAAACGGTGAGCTCTTATATTATATATCTTATTGTATTGTTTTCAAGTCTTTCTTATTATTTGGTGGTATGCTTTTATTGAGTGGGAAGATTCTGTAGTTTTTGTGTCTGGGATTGGGCTTATTAGCTCAGTAGCCAAATTTGGGATGTATATTAAGTATATAACATTGATGTTGACGTAATGTATTCTTTGACATTTAGCCTCTTTTTCATCCGGTATTACCCTTTCCACTAGCAGATATCCAGTTACATGGTATAAAACTAAATGACGTGTTCGTTAATTGTAGGTGATTTAAATCACCAAACGTATGAATCACATAGAGGAACATGTTAACTATTTCTGTTCCATTCTACATAGATCATCCCTTCCATTCCGTTTTTATATTTATATGTTCCATTCCGTTATCTATTAAGTAGGCTTACCACGTATATATAGCTTCAATCCAATCCATCCGGAATGGTATAGAAATATATTCCATTCTATGTACATGGAATGGAATATATATTTATTTAGATACTATACCCTAATCTCCAATAAGTTAACCCTAAACCCAACAGACCCACTTAACACTATACCCTAATCACAAATAAGTTAACCCTTAACGAAAATCTAAACCAGAAAACGCAAATAGAAACCCCAGCTTTTGATGTAAACTCCACATCAAATGGAATGGAATGCGCAAGTTTGGATGAAACCCTAAATAACATAGAAAACATCCGAAATCTGGATTTTTTATTCCATTGTGCTTGGAATGGACCAAAACCGTATGGATCTAGTGGTCCGGTTGTCGATGTCGAAGACGGTGAATTTCACAGAGAATAAAAAGGTTAACCCTAAACCCAACAGACCCACTTAACACTATACCCTAATCATAAATAAGTTAACCCTTAACGAAAATCTAAACCAGAAAACGCAAATAGAAATCCCAGCTTTTGATGTAAACTCCACATCAAATGGAATGGAATGCGCAAGTCTGGATGAAACCCTAAATAACATAGAAAACATCTCAACTCTGGATTTTCTATTCCATTGTGCTTGGAATGGACCAAAACCGAATGGATCTAGTGGTCGGGTTGTCGATGTCGAAGACGGTGAATTTCACAGAGAATAAAAAGGTTTCGAGAGATTAAGTTGTGGAGTTCTCAGAGACGTTTTGCTTGCGTCGAAGTTAGTGGGAGATGTGAAATAATTGGTGGAGTTAGGTAAGACACGACTTACAGTGTAAAATCAAGAGAATAAATTATGACTTTTTTTTTCTTCCGGTGAAAGCTGTTGAGTTAAAGGGTAATACAGTATTAATATATATAACTAACGATGTGAGTGTATCTGTCAGGGTTTTTTGCTACTGACCCAATTATGGTTTTTTCTATTGCTATATGGCCTAATTCCCCAAAATTAAGCAAGAGACGATTTTTCATTTTGGCATTTTCTGCATAAACATGTTTTATTTAATTTGTTGTTGGATCGGGTGTTATGGATAACCCCTTAATGCACTATATATTCTTTTGCTCAATAATATGATCCACCGAAAACGAGAACATTATATAAAATGAGAGATTTTATCCAAAAAATC